GGGGGGGGGGGGGGGGGGTCGGCTGAGATCAGTCTGCTATCGCAGACTACGAAAACCAAGCAAGGTACGAAAAAGTTGTATATGACATTAAAAGTTATTTCAAATAAGACAAAGTTAATTGTTATTGCCATACCTTTAAGAATGCAGTCGTTTAAAAATACTAATTATAGATTCTAATTAGGGTTTTTCTAATATGCCCTGCGTGTATTTATACTAAAGTGGAGCCTGGGATACCTCGATTGCCCTTCTAGTTTTCTATACACTGTCACTTAAATTCCACGCAGTTTTACATTATTTTGCAGTCATTAGTTTAGCTTAAAGCATAATTTTAATTTTGGGACTATGTCAATACCAAAACGCGGAGTGTATATGTTTTGACTAATACTATTTGAACAACTCATGTAGGCCTATTTTAGCTAAATTACCATTTCTACCACCTGCGCGTGATGGGCGTGAAATTGGAATTCATCTAAATTGCCATTTGAAGTAACGAGGTCGATGCGCAGGATCATTACTGCCTGGGAGACACAGAAAAACGTACGCCCTTCTTTTTCATTTAACAGGTAGGTTGGCTTAAATCTTTCGCGGAATAAAATACAATGAAATCGGGAAACTTTGAAAACATATCATACTTTATTTAATTCTACGTTTTGACTAATCTTTAGTTCCTCGAGCTCGGGTGATGAGTTACGATTAATATACAGGGTATCCCAAAACTATTGAAATAACGTATTGTTAGAATTTGATCGATGCTTCAGCACTCTGCTGAACACACAAGTGATAAAGCTTGACATAAGTAAATTTTATGCATAAAGAAACTGTCAATATTTTACGCATGCATCTTTGCATTCAGCTTAGCCTAACAATACGTTATTTCAATAGTTTTGGAGTTTGGGGGACACCCTGTGGAAAAGGTGTGTGCAAAGAATTAAAACTAAAATAGATTTAATTCAAGCCTTGTCTTGAATTCAAATTCGGTTTCGTATATATAGATGCAATTTAGAAAGCTCAAGTTTTCAAGGAACAGCTTAAAGATTCTATCGCTTGCAACTCATCGTTAACCAAGTAGGATATCTAAAGGATTAGATTGACGCCATTGTATAACCTGCGTCAATACGCAACAATTTTTCGACAAGCTTGGTTTAAACATATGTTTAAACGTGCGTCAAACTACGGTAAATATTAAGACGTGACTCTCGTGACGCGCTTACACAAAGACGAAGAAAACAATATATTGTTTCCTTAATTGCTCCATGCATGTTATGACACAGAAACCTGGAATTATCACACTGAATTACATGCACGTTTGGACAGAATGTTGTTTTTAATTCTTTCGATTCTTGATGAAAATAAAGTTTATTTTTAGTGCTAAGATGTGGGACGTGAATGATTTCCTGCGGGAAAAACAGTATAGGCATACAGAGACATTTGAATACACTTAAATTTATTAAATTTATGTAAATGAACATCTTTGAGGTATTTTAAAATACAAATTTACTTCAAAAGCCCAGTGTTTTGTTAGATTTGAGTACATGATAAAAAAACTGATAAGGCTATATAACCATGACAGATAACGTTCATTGACTCGTGCATGCAGTTGCGTATATGTTAACACTAATAAGAGAAGAATAGGTTCGAAATGATAGTATCCGTGTATAAATTACAGAAAATAAGTAATATACTAAGTCTAATATACAGTTAACTGGTTTCCTCGTGTTATGTATGGACAACTAAAAGCTGATCTTTATCGAACTTTTACGATAACAGTGAACTGCGAGAGTTATGCAGTGTAAAACAAACGCCAGTTCATTAATCCAGTTCTCAATTTGTACCTGGATAACCTTTTTTCACTTATCAGAGGGTGGGAAAGGGTATTTTCGTCAGCCGTGAATGGTCAATATTTGTTCGCGTGAAATGTGAAATCAGGGGCGGCGCTAACCCTCTTCGAGTGGGGGGGGGGGTGTGAGTGATCTTTTGCCGACTGTTGTTTGGTAATTTTGCCGAGTCATTAGCCTATAGTGAGGGTCCTGAAGGGGGGGGGGTCCCTATCCCATTTTCCACCTGAAATTTTGGCAAAATCCCAGTCCCAGTTGGATTTTTATTAGAAATCCCAGTCCGAGTTATTGAAATCCCAGTCAATAAAAACCCCTTTATTTATCAGTAGAATAAACAGTTTTAAGACCTTTTAAGCCACCGTGTGTGCAAGTGGCGGACATTTTATGAAATATTGTGGGTGGGGGGCTCGTGCCAAAGGCACGGAAAATTTTTAAATTTGAATCCCGGAAATGGCATTTGCATCATTCTGAGACACGCATAATCAGAAAACCCAAAATTCCTGTCGGCATCCATTTTGCAGCCCTCGAAAAGTCAAAATCTCGGCATTTCTTAAAATCTGTTCCACATCTTGGAGCACTATTAATCACGCATTTACGAATCATTGAAATCGGAATATAACTGGAACGTTACCTCCAGCCGGAAAATTCGAAAGTTGGAGCCAAATTTTAACTCCAGACGCGCGAAATTTGATCTTCAAACATCTAACGTATATACACAATACACAATACCCGTCAGTTTTTAAACCTTACACCGTAAAAAAATTGCATTGCTGCATGTGTGGTTTCTTTGATGCATGCTATTCGTGATATTCGGTTTGAATTCAATTATTCAGGAGGTCAATTTTGGTTTCTTCAGTGGTTATCTTTAGCCAATCCAGTTTTGCCGACTGAGACAACAATTTGCCGATTAGGTGACGAGTGGGGGGGGGGGGGTGTTCCACCCCCCACACCCCCTGTAGCGCCGCCCCTGTGTGAAATGCTTGATTTTAGTGTCGTGAAATGTGATTTGTTGTACAGCCGTGAGCCGTGATTGTCGATAAAAATGCTCCGTGAAATGAGAATTAAGGATGTCTGTTTCGTGAACTCTGATTTTGCTGTTTATTTCGATCTATTTTATAATAGTCATAATAAACATGATACGCGATAATCAATTTATGTGATCTCACTCGATTGCATAAGAGTACATGCTCGTCACTCAAACTTGTAAGTTATGATGTAGTTTTTAACTGACAGGTAGAGAAGTGAGAGAACTTAAAGCGTAGATACTGTACCATGCGTTAAACATACTCTTAATAAACCTATTATTATATTATTTTATTAGAATCTAGTTTTCCGTGAAATTGCTTTTTTAAGACACATGAATCGTCAGAAACGGCTTTTTTTTCGTTGTGAAACGTGATTCACACCCCCCGGCCTCTCCCACCCTCTTATCATGTATATGCGCGCATGCATGATTTTCTTATTAATAAATTGTAATTTATATAGTACGTGCTATATAGTTGGTATAGATATATATTATCATGCAAACGCCTATATATAGCACATGGTTCAGTTCATCATAAGAGGTTTGCGAGTAAGCATGCATGCATTTCCAAAGTTCTGATCATTCAAAGGTTCATGGTATATAAAACATATAATGTATTAATTTTTAGGACTAGTTATTGGGTTAACTATATACAGTACAGGGTGTCCCCCAAAAAACAAAAACTATTGGAACTAACATATTGTTCGAATTTGAATGCCCTAGCACTAAGCTGAACGCAAAGATGCGTAAAATATTGACAGGGTGCATACTGTATACGTATACGTCAATATATAGATTATAGAGACGGGAGACATTAAATAAATGATATTTTTCATATTAAAAATTTATCAATCCCGTTATTTGTTCAACGAAATTATCCAGTGGGCGATTTTTCTTTAGTACTTTACACTAGTTTTATAATCAGTATAAAATTTAACATTTAATATATTCGATGATAAACAGCAGAGAAAATTAGCGAATTCAATACAAGAATGGATAGAAAGCAAACTCAGTTTTTCAATATTTCGCGCTCTATATAAAGCGATTAATGAGGCCCCGTTTACACTATACCGGATTACTTTTCATACCGGATTAATTTTTACTCCGAAGTAAAAAATCAAGGGTGTTTACACTATGCTGCTTCGCTCTGTTGCCAGCTCATGACCAGAGCTTCCACTCGGAAGGAAATTTCCTTCCAAAAGGATATTTTGGCATTTGGAAGGAAAAATAAAAGGAAATAAGATTTGGAAGCTAGAAATTGGAAGGAAATTCGGACATTTTGAAGGAAAAGGGAAGGAAATTTTACAATTTAAACCTTTTCAGTAATTTCTAGTAATTTAATAATGGTTAAACACTTTATTATGAACTTTTCAGTTCAAAAACATTTATAAAAACAATACTTTGGATATTTACATAACCATCAAGGATGAATGGGGGTAATTTGGCACTTAACAGGTCTTCCGTGAATCAGTAGAGTATTTGTATATAAATAACGGGGGCTCAATTTTTTCGCGGGTTTTTAATTTTTATAACCCAAAATTAAAAACAAACAGTCGGAAATAGGGAAACTGTAATTTCTAAGCCAAAAAAAGTAATTTATAAATTATGATGGCTCATATTTAGTCATTGAGTCGGCATCAAGTAGTTTTCAAATGTAAACGGAGTAGAAAGTGTGCAGGAATAGGGTCTGGTCCAAAAGCAAATTCATAAAAAAGTCGTTTTACTATGTGGTTCACTCGTTCGAGAAAACAGACAAAAAATGAGACAACAGAACATGTTGTTTCAGGTTAAATTAGAATTTCACTATTTGAATACTGCAGTACACCTTCAATTTACATTTGAATAAAGTACAATACAAAATTTACTATACTATTTTAAACTGAGATTGGAAGGAAAAATGGAAGGAAATTTAGGATTTTGGGAAGGAAATTTTGCGAAAAAAAAGGACAAAGACGAGAAATTTTGCTTTGCCAAAGTGGAAGCACTGCTCATGACTTTCACTGTCGCCATGGAAACAAGTAGCCAATATACCAAAATTTATTAAAAACAAGAAGTAACACCCGTTTTCTTTGTAAAGTCAAAGTCTCTGTTGTAAAGTATAACCACAGGTATAACTTTGTTTAAAAAGCTTGACCACCAGACGTTGCTTCGTTTCGCTCTAATCCAAAATTTCAGAGTATTTCTTTAAATTTTGCTCTTTCGAAAGCGAAAAGTCAATGTTATTATCATTTTCTTTACTTGTATTTGGCAGAAATAGTAAATGGTTGCAAGGCGAAACAAACAACAGCTATAAAGTATTGTAAAAGCGAGCAAATAAGGGCGACAATGTTAAAAGTTAAAACATACACGCCAAAACCGATTTTGTACCGAAGCGTACCGGATTAGCCTGTTTATACACTGCTCCGGCACATACCGGATTACTTTTCATATCACCTCCAAAGCGGAGTGATTTTTGCTCCGCGTCGCGTACCGGATTACTGTGGCGTAGTGTAAACAGCAGCCGAATCCGGTATGAAAATCGCTACGCTCCGATGCAATCCGGTATAGTGTAAAGTGTAAACGGGGCCTGAAACGAAGATGAGAGTTCATGAGAGTTGGCTGTCACGCGATCTTGGTTAGCTGTTCTTAATGCTTTCCCAACACTACATCGTGCATTTGATTGAAGTTAAAACGTAGCTGGAACACTCATCAAACCTTTATTATTGACCTTGAAATGTCTCGTTTGAGTGCGGCTTAACCGCATGTTCAGCTGTGCTGATGAATTTCATTTCACTAAAGAGTGAAGTGGCCGCGGATGCCCTGCTCCGCAATAGGGCCATTTAAGTACGAGCCCAAGTAAGCCGCGGCTTATTGCAAATTGACTGTTTATATACGAGTCGGTTCACGGCTTATTAAAGTGGCATATTTTCGCTCGCGTCAATAAAAGTCCCTATAATTTAGACTTTATTGTCTTAAATTAAATAATTTTAACAATCATAATTTTGTTAGAATTGTGCAACCAATTTTATTATAACGTATCATTCGAGACATTTATAACAAAATCAAGCGTGGATATATTAATGTGTTTGCTCAAAATTTAAGGTGTAATTTGGAATTTTATCTTTTCTGCTTATTGCTATTTGCTCATGTGAATTTGCATAAAATCTAAACAAATTTAGGCCTAACATGCATGTAATTTAAATTATTTAATTTTAATGATTTGTCACAATATAGAGTACCATATAATCACACAAACAGACAACTTACATGCAAAAACGACATAAGTGTAATTAGGGAAAGGAACAGGACTTGCGTCCCAATTGACACCTGACTCCTTATATAGATTTTACTGTTTATGTGTTTGTGGCAATGGCAGATTGCATTTATTTTCCGCACATGGGGGGGGGGGGTTGAGGCCAATGGAAAATCCGGGGGAGCGGTGTAAAATTAAAATTTTTAAGTAAAAAATAAAGCAAAGTTATTTGCATGCGAGAATTTGAAATAATTTTTTTTCAAACTCAAAGTTTATCGATAAAGGCAGTATTTTATAAAGAACATTTTAAAACGCTTTATGTGGTTGAATTTTTACCTTAAATTGAAGCTTATATTACGTATAATAACATACCTAACATATTATATATGTTTGGGAAATTGATAATTTTGTGAATTACAGCCCGAACAGACCGAACAGGCAAACCGAGGCCGCTTTTGCATATTTTAATGTTTTAAAATCAAGCCTAACCAATCACCAGCGCGGGTTATTTTGACTTACGTCTCAAAATAACCCGTTGCATAGTGAATGGTTCGGCTAGCTTAATTTGAAAACATTAAAACTGTGCAAAAGCAGCCTCGGTTTGCCCGTTCGAGCTGTAAAAGTGATATTCTGGGGGGATTTTTCATTTGTAAGAGTATTCTTAATAAAATTATCGTGTTACCATGACAACTACTTTAAATACCTCATGTTCGGAAAATACAATGGTTTTGTCAGCAAGGCGACTATTATAGGCGAGTGTTTCTGCATGCATATATTTTCTAGTAATGTTTATAATAATTGTTTCAAGGATAACTGTACAGACAGAGTAATGTACTTTGCGTACGAAAACGTACCCATTTTTAGGTTCTATTTCCGTTTTGTTTTCATCTTTACATGTTCCAGTTTAACAGGTCTCCTATATTGAGGGATCCTCTCACGTATTCTGTTTGTCTTAATTATTTTAGAAATAGCAAGCATGCCGTCCACTGGTGTACAAGGCAATCAAGTTTTATTGTACATATTTGGCATCTTGGCGATCGTTCTGAATGGCGTTCTTTTAGCTTCAATGTACAAAGAAAGAAAGAAGATATTTGTCACAAGAATTTCGTTTCTTGTTGCCAACCTTGCTTTTGCAGATTGTCTGAGTGGTTTATTTCTCATCATACTAGGCCAGCCTATCAAAGAGATCGAGTATAAGAGTGACGCTCGGTTGCTTACACAACTTCCATTAATGTGGACTGCATTTTGCGCGTCCTTTCTCACTATATTCCTCATGGCAGCGGAAAGATTGGTTATTGTCACGTTACCAATGGTGTGGTCAGCATTATTAACGATCTCTCGGTCACTGCGTTGCATTCTCGCTGTCTGGCTCCTCTCAATCGGCTTTGGAGTGGCCATTCACTACAGGCGATTCTACGCGCTTTTCGTCATATGTTTAATCGTGGAAATCATCTCTTTGAGCTTCATTGCAACCCATATTTATATTGTATGGATGTTACAACGCAGAGAAAAACACCGTATGGTTGTCAACCAAAACCCGTCTCAGGACTCCCCCTGTCTTCCAACACCTCCCAATGAAAATAGCGCTCACAGAAAAGTTACCATGGTCGTCACCATTCTCCTGGCCGTGTTGATTGTCACGTGTGTGCCTTACTTTGTCTGCTTTCAGATGTTTGCAATTAATAACACTTTTGATAAAACTGTAGCAGATGAAGTCAACTTAAAAATATATGATAAAACATTTCTATACACCAATGCACTTCTTTATGTGAATTTCTTTATGAATCCCATAATTTATGCTTGGCGTTTAAGGATGTATCGAAAGGCTTTTTACAGTCTAGTGGGACGAAGCACGTCGTAATCTCAAGCGTCCGATTCTCAGGGCCTGAAATAGAAACATCATATGGCCTGACACAAATTATTTTTATTTTCCTTTTCTCAAACATGCCTAGTTTTTGGCCATTCACCGACCGCTATTTTGGCCATGTGCAGACGGCAACTTGTTGCTTTTGACAATTGGCAGACACCTATTTCAAACCCTAGATTTCAATCAGTTTAGAAATTTGTAGAAGAACCTGGTTTTCTTAAGCCTGGTTTTATTTCAATTTGGTATATAATTATTTATACGCCCCTCTTGAAAATCAACTAATTCTCTAGTTGTGAGAGGCTAGCGTGTTTAAAAATTACGAGTGGACCTTAGATATTCTGGGAGGACGGAGAAATTTTCCTTGCGCACGAATTTTTTCAAAGTTCGGATTTTTGTCGAACTTTGTTTTACGGTTTAGAAGCTGTGCGGGAACTTATTCTATACATTTCAGAATATCCCATGTGGTTGCAGGATTTTTTCCTGTACATAAATGCTGCATGACTTAACTTTCCCACCTTGCATTAATTTTTGCAGGGATCTCCTCCCCCCAGGACGGTCCACTCCGAAAAGGTGCATGTATACATTCAAGTATGTATATTCAAGTGTGTAACTAGTACTACCAGTAATACTCATAGTGTAGCAAGTTATGAAATAATGTACAGTTACTTTATGGTTTCCGTGTTTGGATGGCCTGATGCAAACACGCGGGAATGTTGCGAGAGTTAAGAAAAGCGCGCGAAACACGAATCGAAGGCATGGTTTAAAATTCCCACGAAGGCACTTTAAATTTCCGGGTTTGGATGGCCTGATCCAAACACGGATTTCGGCCAATCAGAGCACGCGTTATATACATGTTATTTTATAATTTTCTTTATTTTATAAATATTAGAATGAATTGTAGAAGAATTTACTGTTCAGTATAATGTCTAAAAATTATTATCTGTCTTCATAAAGGCTGTAAATACAATAATATTAGTTAGTTCAGTGCTTACTATCCCAGAGTAGGCATCTTGCAATTATCAATTAAAACGTTTACTAGTATAAGTTGTCACAAAATATACTAAAACTGTTCTGTTGACTGTTACTGTATACCTAATTTATTGGATCTCAATATAGTGCAATGCAGTGACTTTGCATAGTAATATATTCTGACTTTTAACCGTGACAAACTATTTAAAACCTGATAAGGTTCATCCCAGGTTAGAATAATGTCAAGCTGTTTCCGTCACGTTTACGAACTATTGTTGATTAATTAATCCTTATGGCAGTACTCATGAACAATAATTGTTATAATTATATTATACATTGTAGTTGGTAAAAGCAATTTGATTGGCTAAGACCTTACAGTTAATTAAAGAACGGTTAAGAACATAAAGAAAATTCAGTTATCTGCTAGCAGATAATTGAGTTATCTGCAAATGAGCCTGCGATGATTAGTAAGCGGTATTCGCAGGAGTAGAAGGAAGGTTGACGGTGGACATT